ACATCACACGTGGAATACGTCGTGAACCCCGCCCAAAACTAGTGGTAAAGCCAACCGGTATGCTAGGTCACCGACTCGTTCGAGTATCACACATGGCCTTACGAATCACGGATGAAGTTTTCCCCTCTTCCTGAAACGGATCACACCCTACCTAGGTGCATCCTACAGGAACACAGGATCACCCACCTCGATCCTGTACAACAGCGTTCTCAACGTACGCCCGTACAACTACCCACAACGCACCTACCAACAGACAAGACTCTCAATGTTCTTCCTGCGTATTGACAATATGCTGCAATCCTCCGAATCTGGAGTCGATAGGTGACATTATGCTTCAGTATCGTGCCCGGGTCACGCTGAAAACTAGTCCACTATCACAACTCGTGCTTCTCCATCAGAACGGTCGACACGGTACTCCATAACAACCAACTATCTCCAACACCCTCACACTCTTAGTAGCCTCAAACCTACGAAGTATACATAGTCTCCAATCGAGACTCATGACGCCGGTCAACAAAAATGCGGAGTCACAACTTGCCAACTTGAGAACATCTCACCTATGGCATAGTAACTAATCGACAAGTCTCACTTGTCGAAATTTATTGATCTAGGGAAACCACACCACGGTTCAGTGAAACTTGAGCTCTCGGTTCAAGGTTTAGAAGAAAACTTCAAATTCAAGGGTCTACCGTACACACTGTTCTGGGGAGTTCGTGCATTCGGTGATGGTGGCTGCAGCTCACGTGCGAGTCAACGATCGGCCCCGGCCGGTAGCCTAACGTCTCTCAGCACGGGCTTGCGTGCTCGACCACCACTTTGCGTGACTACACCCAGTCAGGGTCGGTTTTCGGGTCAAGGTGCAGTAAAAAAGTTCTAAATTTCATGGTTCAAAATCTCCAAGGTTTTCGGATAGATAAAATTTCGAAACCATTTATCGATTTATAAAACATTTGGCGTTACACGAGAACTTTTCAACGTTAAACACATAATCAACATAAAGCAAACAAGAATATTCAACATAATTCAAGTTCCAGGACTAGATTTCAACATATCTAGCAATAGGATTGTCAACATAATCCAAACTGATAATAATAATCCACATGGTTCAAACACTTCAACTAATCCCAAAAGCGATAGAGAACAATAACAATTTCTGATAATCACATATATCAAAGCATGAGGAAGCAATAAAAAGCATTAATAATGTTTGACCACCCACTCGTCTTCAGTCTAGTCATGCCCAACACGTGCTTAACCTGCATCAATGAAGAGCAGGTGGGGATGAGCACAAATATAAACGAGGTGCTCACCACTATGCATAATATATTGATAAGAATCTTATACTAGAGTCATATGCAAGTACA